ACTTCCAGCTTTGCCTCTAACTCTCTACATGACCTTAAGCAAGTCACTTAACCTCCCAGGTCTAAGGCTTTCCTTCCTGTTAAATGGGAATAATTACAGACAGTCATCATTGTAACCATCATTCCCTGAGGTTTTTCTCTGAGCCAGGCCCTGTGCCAGGAGCATCGTCACCTCTATCCCCGGAGTGCCCTCTAAGGTAGGTACTGTTTTCATTCCTGTTTTCAGACAAGGAAATTTTGGAGGAACCAGGGTCCACTGTTAGTAAAGGTAGACGTGGGTCTCAGTATCATGTCTGTATATCTACTGTGACATAAAGAATTAATTCATAAAGATCAAGGACAGAAGTAAAAGTGTTTTGAAAGAAAAAAAAAAGAGGAGGGGTGCACTGCATAATAGAAATACAAATTGCAACCCCCTGGACATGATTTAAGGGATATTCCTAATCCATTTAAGAACCTTCTGTGAGATCTGTCTACAGAATCAGAGACCTCTAAGATGAGGAAAACCCTCAATAACTCCTTCTTTTCCTTTCTCTCTCCCGTTGGACAGGAATGCTCTGCCTACTCAAATTCCATAGGTGAGACCAGACGGATCAAGCAAAGGCAACCCAGGGACTCAGGTTGTTTTGTGTGTTGCCTTAAGGCGGCTCAGGACATCTTAGGTACTTAACTATTTGTTGCATAGTCTGTGAAGGAGTGAGCAAAGGAATGAATGGAAAACTTCAGTACAGACGGAGTCCTCTTGTTCTCCTGCCTGCGCTAAAGGATCAGGGCAGTGACAAGAGTCAACTTGTGCTGTGGCTGCAGCTGTGCTGACACCCTGCCCAGATCACAATCAGCCCTGCGGCTCCCATTTTGGAGGAAAGGCTTGCCCAGGGATCTGTAGCTCCAAAACTCCTCAGGCACTCTCTGCAGCTCTTGGAACGTGCCTGGACTGTTGCTGTGCAGACTATGGAGGCCTGGCTGGGTGCCTGCCCCTGCTTTCCCAGGGCTTCATAAAGGCTGGGAAGTGACTTACCCCAAATCCCCCATCTCCCCCTTATCGGTTCAGCCCAGGGAGTGACGCTGACAAACAAATGCAGTCATGTGTAGACTCCCAGGGTCACACAAGGGTGGAGCTGGCTGAAGCCTTGGTGATCTGAAGATTCAGGCCAGTGCACGCATATATATATCTACCCTGGGCTCTGGGGGATCCAACCTCCACTAGCCATGTGACCTTGGAGAATTATTTGAAAAGAAAATATTTGAAAAGCACTGGTTTCCTCAGGTGTAAAATGGAAATAAAAGTCTCTCCTTTAAACAGTAAGCTTGTGTTCCTGTTCAAAAGTCTTTACTTCCTATTCTTTTTTTTTTTAAATACTTTTTAAAGTAATCTCTATACCCAACGTGGGGCTCAAACTCACAACTGCAAGATCAAGAGTTGCATGCTCCACTGACTCAGCCAAGCAGGCGCCCCCTTACTTCGTATTCTTTAGGGTTATTAAAGTCAAACTGCTTGGCTTGATAGTCAAATCCTACCATCACCCAAATCTTGTCAACTACCCTACTCATCATCACGCCTCCCAACTCCAGTTTGCTGTCATGTCTGTATGCCTACGACTATTACCCGCTTTCTTTCTCCCATTTGAGTTTACTAAAGTCTCAGGGGCAGGCCTCACAAAGCCTTCCCTCACTTGGGCTTCTCTGGCCATTCACAATTGGGCACTCAGAGGTGTTAGTACTGTATGTCAACAGGTAGGAACAAAGCTTTGACTCTCAAACCAGAAGGTGGGATCCTTGAGGGCTACCATCTCTTATGATATCTCTCCTGTCATGCATTGAATGATACATAAAAATTCCTGTTGACTCACCCGAAGTCAGAATTCAGTTAAAACACCCCCAAAGGAAGGAAAATAGAGATAAAGAAAGAAATTGGAGGCAAACTCAAATCACTCCTATTTCTGCAGGTATGGTTGGTGTGAAAAGAAAAACAATGCTCTCTAACTTCAACCGAGACATGAGAAGTAGAGGAACTCCCTAAAAACAATGCATAGAATAAATCACAAGGACTGGCCTCACTTAGAGATTTCAGGAAGGAAAACACAGTTAAACTGAAAACTGTTAAGTCCTGTTTAAAAAAACAAAACAAAACAAACATAATAACAAAAAACAGCCCGGAAATGTTTTTTAGTACTGCATCTATCAAAGTCCCTTAGGGGCTTGATTCGTCCTTTAGTACATTCTTCCTAACACCTGCTTTTACTAAAAACCAACAGCTCAACACCAGAGCTCTGTGAGTCAGAAGCAGAGTGAAACTGGACACAGAGGTTCTCAGCTGTGAAGCACGTCACCCAGTTAACAAGCAATAACCATACTAAGTATTACCAGTCAGTGCCCTGCAGCCATGAGGGTGGGCCAGGGGAAGCTGGGCCAAAGGCAGATGGGTGTCACACATCACCCAGATTCTCCTCCCACCTCGTTCCTCTCTCTGGTCTCGGCTTCCACCTCAACCACCCAGCAGCCAAACACACCCAGAAAAAAATCCTTGTACCACCTTCCACCCAGACTAATTCCACAACATTTCAAGTGAGACCTCAGGACCAATACATATTTCTTTCCTAATTTTTTTAAAGTTTATTTATTTATTTTGAGAGAGGGGAGGGGGGAGGATGAGGAGGGACAGAGAGAGAGGGAGAGAGAGAATAGCAAGGAGGCTTCATGCCATCAGTGCAGAGCCTGATGAGGGGCTTGAACCCATGAACCATGAGATCATGATCTGAGTTGACATAAAGAGTCGATACTTAACCAACTGAGCCACCCAGGCGCCCCAGCCTATTTTTTTTTTTTAAACAAAAATAGTAAAACATAGAACTCAGAAAACTCAAGTGATATGGAGAATTAGATCTAGACACCTTTTGATTTTAACTTTGTGTTATATAGTTAATCTCTCTGAATGGAAATCTACATCTACACAAAACAATTGTCCCTTTAAGTTACAAACAACACTGACATAGTTCTATTCCTCTCTTAAATCTTTAAAAACTGGAATTGCTCATTACAACTTACAGTCATAAAACTTACAACTTACAATCATGGCCCCCACAAAAACCCACACTCCAAAATATTCATAGTGTTATAACAGCCAAAACTGAAATCAACCCAAGTGTCCATCAAATGATGAATGAGAGCCCAAAGGCAGTATATCCACACAATGGAATATTACTTGGCAATGAAAAGGAACGGAGCACTGACACATGCTGTGACATGGTGCGAAGTGAAAGAAGCCAGACGCAGATCACAGGTGGTGTGGCTCTATTTCTATAATGTCCAGTGTAGGATGTCTAGGAACAGAAAGTAGATGAGTGGCTGCCAGTGGCGTGGGGAAATCGGGAGAGTGGAGGTGGGTGATAATTTAGGGGTACACTTTCTTTTGGGGTAATGAAAATGTTACAAAATTGACTGGTGATGGATGCATAACTGTGAATATATTAAAAGCCATTCAATCATATATTTTTTTTGTTTATTTTTGAGAGAGAGAGAGAGAAAACACATGAGTGGGGGAGGGTCAGAGAGAGAGGGACACAGAGGACCCGAGGCAGGCTCTGTCCTGACAGCAAAGAGCCCAATGAGGGGCTTGAACTCATGAGATCATGACCTGAGCTGAAGTCAGATGCTTAACTGACGGAGCCACCCAGGCGCCCCTTAATCATACATTTTAAATGGATGAATTGTATGGTGTGAGAACTATAGCTCAGTAAAGCTGTTTAAAAAAAAAAAGTACAAGGAAAAAATATCTCACACAGGCTAGTGACTGCTGCTTGTGAAAGTGATTGGTGTCAATCTACTGGTTTGAAACATCCACAGTGAATGTGTCCTTGAGGCTCTTTGTGCTGAGGGGCTAGAGAAGTGCCTCAAAGTAGCACTCAGGAAGATGCCCCCGGGACAAAGAACAGCTCTTCTTCCACTGGCCACAGTTTTAACTGCAGCATTTTAGAATGTTCCGATATCAGGAGGCACTTATGAGTGGTCTGGCTTATAACATAACTGACATGGGCGACACTTCAGCTGTGGGTTGTACCAGTCATCAGAGGTAAGCTGAGACAGGGTCACACTCAGGGCGCTCAGGATCGTCACCGTGTGCACCCTCAGATGGGTCACCAGACCTTCCGCACAAAGAGGAAGACTCTTCCCACTTGTCTGATTTATGGAGGTTCCAGACCCTTCAAATGACCCATAAAGCTACCTTGCGCCAAGTACACAAGGATATGCATAAGGCAAATAGTAACAAAGGCAAATTTTGCTAGTGTGTCAATAATTCAGGTTAAAAGAAATAAAGAAAAATAGGATTATGTGAAGTTAGGATGTAGATTTAAGAGAGTGAGGTTATTTAGGGACTCTAATTTTGTTTTCCATTACTTCTACTTTGTTCCTTTTTCTGGTCTACAAGCACAAATATGATTCATCCTCTACCCATAGGTGGCCAGCCTCATTTTCTGATAAGAGGCAAGAGTGACAGAGACCTTGGACTGCACACCCTGGCTTGCCACATATCACCTCTGTACATAATTTAATCTCTGGGCCCTGGTTCTGCATTTGTAACAAAGGAATAATATTTGCTATTTGACCAGGTTTTTGTGGGGGCCAAATGAGATATAAACCGCATAGCAGTGCCTGACACACAGAGTCTTGGGGCAAAGCAGGCAGAGGGTAGGATGAAGGACAGGGATCATCAAGCTCCTTGCAAAGAAGGACTAGTGACACTGAAGGAAACTGTCACAGAATCCCTGTCACACACGGCCCTAAAGGGGTTGCGAGTCAGGAAAGAACAGCATCAAACCAAGCAGGTGCTGAAAATCAGGAAGTCTCTCCTAGATCTCATCACAATGCCAAGAAGCAGCACAATGGCCTTAGCCTTCTGGACAGAAAGTACTCTTATTCCCAAATAGGAAACTTAGAATTATTATCTGTGGAGGGCGAATGGGGTCGAAACAGAACATCAACAATCCTCACACAACTGCTCACATTGCAGGTTGCAGAGGGGAGTCCATTTTCTTGTCTCCCTGCTGTCCCTCCTCAGGGCCACTTGCGGTGCAGACAAGTCCAGGGCGTGCTGCCATCTGCAGGTAAAACAAGAAAAAGCACAAGTCATGAACCAAATCATCCACCTGAAGTGCCGACCAACTGCCCTCCCCCACTCCCACCCCTGGCCTGTCCACAGGCAGCTGCAACAGCTGGGTCCACCCAGGTGCAGGAGCCAGGAGAACCCACTCAGTTCAGTTTGTGATCCCACCACAGAGTCACGACATAGTAAGAACTGTAAATTGTAAACTATCAAGGACTCAAGCATTTCTTAATAGCAACAACAAGCAAACTTACACAGAGCTCACCAAGTACCGGACACTGCTCCAAATGATTTACATTTAGTAACTCATTTAATCCTCACAAAAATGTTTTAGGGGCGCCTGGGTGGCTCAGTCCGTTAAGTGTGTGACTCTTGATTTCGGTTCCAGTCATGATCTCACAGTTCGTGGGATCGAGCCCCAAGTCTGGCTCTGCACTGACAGCAGGGAACCTGCTCTCTCTCTCCCTTTCTCTGCCCCTCTCCTGCTCACACAAATGCTCACTCTCTCTCAGAATAAATAAACTTTTAAAAAAATTGAATATTTTAAAGGTCTCTGCTGCTTTGCCTGATTAGTAAGTTATCATATGAATAATTAAAATGAAGAACTTGATAATGGCCAATTTCAAAGAGGGGTCAGCTATGAAAACTTTGAGAGAGGATCTGAGCATCCTGCATATCATGCATCCCTCATTTATCAAGCACCTGTTATGGACCAGACACTGCTCTAGGACCTGGAATGAACCCAAAAGACAAAGTCCCTTCTAACGTGGGCTTCCATTCTGGTGGAGGGATGTGACAAGAGAAGGAGCAATAAATGCTGTGCAGAAGCAGCAGCAGGGTAAGGGAACAGAGGGTGATGACAAAACCATTGATATGCATTCACTTATTCATTTATCCCCATGTACTTATTAACCATCTACCATAAGTAGGACATTGTGCTGGGATCCAACAAAGGGCAAAACCCACACATGGTCCTTGCCTGTATGGAGTACTTACTCACATAGGAGAAGCATATATTAATCAAATGATCACTGAAATAAATGCAAAGGTATAACAACCTGTGGTTAAGTGTGACAGCAGAAAGGCGCAAGCCACTCTGAGAGCATCCTAAAGAGGCCTGATCTTGTCTGAAGCCTTGGGAAGACCTGGAATGGAGTGTAGAGCAAAAAACACGTGCAAAGGCTGGAACACAGACAGCAAGCCAGAGGCTGGGTAGGGAGAGAGGAGGTACGGGGAGGCAGCCCTTGTATGGCACCCCCAGCCCTGAGAGGCTTGCATCCTCTGAGGACTGGAGCACCATGTGAGAATTTTAGGCAGAGGAGTAATGTGATTGGATGTGTGTGTGTTTTTAAAATGTTGTACTACGTGGTAGGCTGAATAATGGCCCTTCCAAAGATGTTGATGTCTGAATCCCTGCAAGTAGTGAATATATCCCCTAACATGGAGAAAGGCAGAATGTGATAAATTAAGGATCTTGAGATGGGAAGATGATCTTGGATTATGCAGGTGGGCCCAATGTAATCACAGGTGTCCTTACAAGAGGGAGGCAGATGAAGATGTGACTATAGAAGAGGAGCATCAGAGCAGTACAACCTGAGAAAGACCTGATGGTTCAAAAGATGGAAGAAGGGGCCATGAGCCAAGGAATGCAGGAAGCCTCAAAAAGCTGGAAGAGGCAACTAAATGATTTTCCTCCAGAGCCTCCAAAAGGAACACAGCCCTGATGAAACTTTGATTTTAGGACTTTGACCTTCAGACTTTGTGGTAATCTGTTATAGCAGCCATAAGAGACTAACACACATTGGCTTCTGTGACAAAATAGTCAAGAGGTAATGAGAAGTAGGGACCAGTTGGAGGTCACTGTGTTATCCAGGCAAGAGATGTGACAATTTGAATCACAGCAGTGGTGGCATTGGGAGTGGAGAGGAGTTGAGGGACCCTAGGAAAGGGGGAGTTGGCCAGTCAAAGGTCTTGCTACAACCTGGCAGATGTCACTGGAATGCTGCAATAGGCCTTCTTGAGGCTCAGGACCAGGCTGTCTGGCCCTGGCCAGGGCCCAGCATCCTTTGTAGAAAGAGGAAGCCTGCACCAAGGCAGTGAGACCACTCTCAGAAACAGACATCATCTAGTCTCTCAGTAGGGACCTGCTGACCCCATTCCCACAAAAGAATCCAAGAGTTTCGAGAAAAAAGTTCTGCAGTTCGCTAGGAATTTCTACTAGGCAAAAGGTAGAAATTGTTTCTGCCAAGCATTAGACCTTGCAGTGAACATATTTTTCTTCCCAACAGAGGTTTTGTAAACCTAGCAAGGAGACATCCAAATTTAAACATATGTATCTCCAACCCAGCTTGATGTGGGGCTTGATTCCACAACCCTGGGATCATGACCTGAGCCGAAATCAAGATCAAACACTCAATCAACTGAGCCACCTGACCGCCCTGGTTTCCAATTTTCTGAGAGCAGAAGTCTCACTGAGAGGAACAGCTTCCTATATAAGAACACTCCATTTAAAATCAGTATCTGGGAACGCCTGGGTGGCTCAGTCCGTTGAGCATCCGACTTTGACTCAGGTCATGATCTCACAGTTCGTGAGTTTGAGCCCCGCATTGGGCTCTGTGCTGACAGCTCAGAGCCTGGAGCCTGCTTCCGATTCTGTGTCTCCCTCTCTCTCTGCCCCTCCCCTGCTAATGCTCTGTCTCTCTCTCTGTCTCAAAAATAAATAAAACATTAAAAAAATTTTTTTTAAATCTGCATCTGAAGCTCTGATTATTCTTTAGTGTCATGTTTTGCACGTTTTAGTCATCCATAAGTCACCATAACTATTTCACCAAAATTAAATACTATATGTACTATACTTAATATTTCTTTTTAAATTAATTAATTCCTGCCCTTAAATAATAAATGAATCTTAAAAGCAAACTTTATTTACTACTATAAATGGAAAACCAGCATCTTATGTCATAAAGGAAGGCAATCTTACAGACAAACACAATGGAAAACAAAAAACCGTTGTGAAAATATAGTTAAGATATTGCTATCCTTTTGCTCATTCTTTGATATCAAAAGGGAGATTGGGAAAACTTAGAGAGGTGTTAAAGACATAGCAGCACCAAACTGACAGCTTTCTCCCTCCCTTGATCAGAACACTGAAAAGGAATTGACAGGGAATGAATAACTTTCTCAATATGCGAATCCTGTGAGACGACGCCACGTATGTGTTCCACCTGGAATTACCCTGCACCACCTGACATCACCTGTCATAGGAACATGTCTTAGAATATAGTTCTAGAAGTAGAATTACTGCAATAAAAGATGTCGACACTTTAAGAAGCTTTTGATAGGGGCACCTGGCTGGCTCAGTCGAAGGAGCAAGTGACTCTTGATCTCGGGGTTGTGAGTTCGAACCACATGTTGGATGTAGAGATTACTTAAAGATAAAATCTTTTAAAAATTACAATAAAAAAAAAGCTTTTGATAAACACCATCCAGATTAGTTTCACCACAGTTTTCATGTAAGAGTGCCCACTTGGCTCCAACCTCAAATAGTTAAGTATTATAAACACAAGTGTTAAAACGTTAAGCGTTATAGTGTAAGATATTCACCAGCTGAATTTTCAAAGCGATTTTCATATTCTTCTAGCCAGTCTCTGACCCTGGGGCAGGACGATTACATGAACCTTCAGTTAGTGGTAAGTTTACACAAACTGATATTGCTCTTGGTTTAACCAAGCTAAAGTAAACTAAGTAAAACATGAGGAAGTGACTAGCATTGGCAAATACTTCAGAATGTTTTTGTGCCAGCAAAGGTCAAATGAGGCTCAGAATAGCATGGATTCCAAAGTAGACTTTTGAGAAATAAGGAAGCCAGAGAAGCATTACTCACGAGACACCAACCACTATAAATAATTCAGAAAGTTAATGAAAACTCTAAAAGAAACATATGTGTGAGCCTTCCTATCCTAATGTGATAGGGCCACTGCACAAATGCAGTTTAATGCACTTGTACAGATGAATGCAATTGTTAACAAAAGATTTCTAAAATAGAAAAAGAAAAGTGTATTCTGAAGTATGAAGAATTAATAACAATAGGAAGCTTCCAGATTATTTCAGTAATTCCTGGACAGACACTTAACGTGTGTTTGCACCTATGAGGGAAAGTAAGGGACAAGAGAATTAAAAACATAAAGAGTTTCTTATGTTTGGGAAGAGGTTAGAGGTTCTGATTAACTTTTGGTGTTTGTAGGAAAACATAAATTTGTTTATGCTTAAGAAATTAAAGAGGGCTCCCTGTAAGGTACAGAATTCCAACTCATTAAATAAAAAGAAAGAAGAGGGGCTCCCGGGTGGCTCAGTCAGTTGATCATCCGTGTGACTCTTGATTTTGGATCAGGTCATGATCTCACTATTCATAGGATCGAGCCCTGCATCTGGCTCTGTGCTGACAGCATGGAGCCTGCTTGTGATTCTCTCTCTCCCTCTCTCTCTCTCTGCCCCTCCCCTGCTTGTATAAGTACACACTTCCTCTCCCTCTCTCTAAAATAAATAAATAAACTAAAAAAAAAAAAGAAGGAAGGAATGGAAACAGATACCTTGATTAATCCAGAAAAAGTCATAAGAACAAAAAGAAAAGGAAGAACTCATGATAAATATTTGGCAAAACAAGAAGGCAGAAATAAGGCCCAAAATAAATATATGGTAAAACCTTGAATTGTGAGTAACTTGTTCTGCCAGTGCCAAGACAAGCAAACATTTCTAATAAATTTTTTTTTTTTAATTTTTTTTTCAACGTTTTTTATTTATTTTTGGGACAGAGAGAGACAGAGCATGAACAGGGGCAGAGAGAGAGGGAGACACAGAATCGGAAACAGGCTCCAGGCTCCGAGCCATCAGCCCAGAGCCCGACGCGGGGCTCGAACTCACGGACCGCGAGATCGTGACCTGGCTGAAGTCGGACGCTTAACCGACTGCGCCACCCAGGCGCCCCCATTTCTAATA